AGGTAGCTGTCCAGTCTCTTCTTAAAAACCTCCAATGATTAAGCACCCACAACTTCTGGAGGCAGGTGGTTCCACTGGTTAATTGTCCTGCCTGTTAGGATGGTCTTCCTTAATTCCAGGTTGCTTCTCTCCTTGATTAGTTTCCATCCATTCTTCCTCCCTTCCTCTCTCCCTCCCTCCCTGACTCATGTAATCCTAAAGCTAGAAGGCGGGGTAAAATCCCATTTTTTTCCCCTACCGGTTCTGTGGGCGTGGCTTGGTGGGCAGGGCAGGGGAAGGATACTGCAAAATCCCCATTCCCTCCCCATTCTGGGGCCAGCCGGAGGTGGTATTTGCCGGTTCTCCGAACTGCTCAAAATTTCCGCTACTGGTTCTCCAGAACCTGTTAGAACCTGCTTGATTTCACCCCTGCTAGAAGGGACTATAGAGGTCTTCTAGTCCAGCCCTCTGCTCAAGCAGGAGATCCTATACCATTTCAGGCAGTCTCTTCTTAAAAAACTCCAGTGATGGAGCGTCCACAACATCTGGAGGCAAATCGTTCCACTGATTAATTGTTCTCACTGTCAGGAAGTTTCTCCTTAGTTCTAAATTGCTTTTCTCCTTGATAAATTCCCATGCATTGCTTCTTGTCCTGCCTTCAGGTGCTTTGGAGGATAGCTTGACTCCCTCTTCTTTGGGGCAGCCCCTGAGATATTGGAAGCCTGCTATCATGTCTCCCCTAGTCCTTCTTTTCACTAAACTAGACATACCAGATCCAGCAACCGTTCTTCGTATGTTTTAGTCTCCAGTCCCCTAATCATCTTAGTTGTTTTTCTCTGCAACTGGTTGCGGTTTTGACAACGTTGCAAGCGAGCTCAGGTGCTCCAAGAGGTTGCAGGCCAACTCTCGGCGCACGGAGTCATCAAGGCGTTTGCGCCACGAGGAGGAAATATTGCCTGGCTTTTTACTTTGTTTTGACAGCTTATCAAAATGCAAAAAAACCTTCATTAATGATCATCGCCTCTCCGTGCTCTCATCTTCCAGGGTGTTCGGCCGTTTTTTTTTTTTTTTTTTTTTTTTTTTTGCCGTGGTGGCGTGGAGCTAATTGTCTTGTGAGGGCCTTTGGAGGGGGGGTGTCTACTGCTGCTCGTTACAAAGCTCGTTAATAATCATTTAGCATATGAAACGCGGGTAATGAGACCATGTGTTGCAGAGCAGAAGATGGCAATTACAGGAATGACATAATTACGCAACGGTTCGGGGGGGGGGAGGAGGGCAGGGGGCACCGAAGTCTTAAGCGGAAGCTCGGAAAGAACCCCAACTCAAAGAAAACTCAACCGGGGGACGGTGGGACTTCGTTACGCCAACTTGATGTGGGGTTTGTCCACCCCACTCAGGAAGCTCAAACTGCCCAAGGAGCTGCTGATCCAGTTCTACAGAGGAATTATGGAGTCTGTCATCTGCACCTCCATAACTGTCTGGTTTGGCTGTGCAACCCAACAAGACGGACACAGACTTCGGAGGATCGTTAGAACGGCAGAAAAAACCATGGCTACCAGCCTGCCTTCCATGGAGGACCTGTGTACTGCACGAGTCAAAAAGAGGGCTGGGAAAATATCTACAGACCCCTCGCATCCTGGACATCAACTGTTTCAACTCCTACCCTCAAAACGACGCTATAGAGCACTGCACACCAGAACAACTAGACACAAGGACAGTTTTTTCCCGAATGCCATCACTCTGCTTAACAACTAATTCCCTCAACACTGTCAAACTATTTGCTAAGTCCGCATTAATCGCATTAATTAATTAATCTGCATAATTAGTAATTAATTAATAGTAATTAATTAATTATTATTAATCTTCTCATTGTTCCCACCACCCATCTCCTTCCGCTTATGACTGTATGACTGTAATTTTGTCGCTTATATCCTTACGATTTATATTGATATTGTTTCCCGATTGCTTATTTGTACCCTATGACTATCATTAAGTGTTGTACCTTATGATTCTTGATGAACGTATCTTTTCTTTTACGTACTCCGAGAGCGTATGCACCAAGTCAAATTCCTTGTGTGTCCAATCACACTTGGCCAATAAAAAATTCTATTCTATTCTGTCCTGTCCTGTCCTGTCCTGTCGTGTCCTGTTCTACTCTACTCTACTCTACTCTACTCTACTCTACTCTACTCTACTCTACTCTACTCTACTCTACTCTACTCTACTCTATTCTGATTGAAACACATCTGGTAGAAAACAATGGGGCTGACACAGCCCACATTGCTAAGGATGTCAACGTTGGACATTTTAGCGCAAGGGGTCTATTATACCGGTTTAGGATGACGTGAGAAGGGAGGGAGTTGACTTGAAGATGAAAGAAGGGAAGAGAGGATGGCAATGATGATTCCATCCCCCCCCCCAGCAGATGGTCCTACCTTCAGTTAAAATATGATCCAGATCAGGAGAACTCAAGGGATAAGTCTAAAAGAACTCTGAATTTGCTCGCAGGGGGAGAGAAAAATGTGGGCTCTTCCTTGGTGGTCTATGAGCTTGGTGGTTTTCTTGCACACATTTTGTGACCCAACTGGTCAACATCGAGGTGGTATTCAGCCCCGGTAGCGGAAATCGCTGGTGGGCCTGCCCACCCGCTCTGGCTCTATGCCATTCTATTTAAGCATGTTTTTGAGGCCGAGAGCATGCGTGGAAGTTGTGCACATGCGCAGAAGGCATGCTCTCATAAGACTGTCATAAATCAAGGACTACCTGAGGGCACCCAGTACAGGTTAACGCCGTAAATATAGCACTATGTTCCTACCGCATGGTTACCGTGTTTCTCCGAAAATAAGACCTCTCCAGATAATAAGCCCAATTGGGCTTTTGAGTGCATGTGCTCAAATAAGCCCTCCCTGAAAATAAGCCCTCCCAAAAAAATATTTAAATGCATGAGCAGCTGGTCCCCGCCATTTCCTCTGGTTAGGGTTAGGGAGACAGAGCTGGAAATCAGGTAAGACGGCAAGAGGAGCCCCGTCTTGCTCCATGCGCCCCAAAATAATAAGACCTCCCCAAAAATAAGGCCAAGTGCTTATTTCAGGGTTCAAAAAAATATAAGACAGGGTCTTATTTTCAGGGAAACACAGTAGTAGCTCCTTTTTGGCACTTCAATCCGCTTGGCGGGTCTACGCAGGTTAATGCACAAGGGGCATTCCCGTTTTTTTCCCGTTGTGCGAGACGCACGCCTTCCAGCTCGTTCGTTCTTTCTTCAAGCTCGGCTTGAGCTCATTTGTCAGGAGGAGAGGCCCAAACCCGGCTAAAGACTTCTGTGTTGTAGGCAATATTAAAAGCTATTTTTCTCGGCCGTGTTCCCAATTGACCGGATAATTATTTTTAGGATTGGACGGAGACCTCGGCTTCTACGGATGCCGTTTCTTAGCAACCCGAAGGCAGCTCGGGAGATACCTGGCTTAATTATGCTCCAATTTCTTGAGGATGACAGGGAACGCCAGCTGCTTACAAGCCCTGGGAAGGAGGTAGTAGAGGTTGCCAGTGGTTTGCAAGTCCAGGCCGGGTCGTTGGCTGGACTACAGACGAGACAGGCTCATTATATCTGCCAGCTTTTGGGAGGGCCAAGTTGTCTTCTCTGATCTCGGCCCAGGAGAAGGCTGTGGGTCCTCCAGGATGAGGACCAGAGGAAACAGCGTGGCTTTGGACTTTCCAGCCAATCTGTTTTCACAGCCAAAAGGAGAGAATTCTGCTGGGAGGCTAATGGTGTAGTGTGAGGTTCTTGGAGGTATTTAATTATGAGTTAGACAACCTGGGCCTGTTAGGTCATGGCTGCAGAGGTATTTCCTTACCTGAACAGAGAAAAGGAATGACCACGGACGGGCACAAAAAACACAGAGGGAACAGCTGCGCCTTCTGACTTCCTGCTGGCTTCCCCATTGAATTTCTTTTGTGGGAATCTGGCAGGGAACATTGGAAGCCTTCCTTCTCCTTCTCCTTCTCCTTCTCCTCCTTCTCCTTCTCCTCCTTCTCCTCCCTCCATTCTTCCCTCCCTCCCTTCCCTCACTGCAGTTGTTAAGTTGGTAACACGGCTGTTAAGTGAATCTGGTTTCCCCAGTGACTTTGCTTGTCAGACGATCACAAAAGGGGATCCCGTGATCTCGGGACACTGCAACTGTCATAAATATGATCCTGTTGCCAAAGCAGCTGAATTTTGATGACGTGACCACGGGGAATGCTGCAATGGTCGTAAGTGTGAAAAAAACGATCATAAGTAACTTTTTCAGTGCTTTTGGAACTTTGGGCGGTCACTAAACGAACTGTTGTAAGTCAAGGACTACCTGTAATGCTCTTACGAAAGAGAGAGAGAGAAAGAAGAGAGAGAGGAGAGAGAAAGGAGAAAGAAAGGAGAGAGGAGAAGAGAGAGAGAAAGAGGAGAGAGAGGAGAGAGACAAAAGAGAGAGGGGAGAGAGAGGAGAGAGAAAAAGGAGAAAGAGAGAGAGAAGAAAGAGAGAGAAAAGAGAAAGAGACGAGAGGAAGAAGAGAGAGAGGAAAGAGAGCAGAGAGAGAGAAAAGAGAAAGAAGGAAGAGAGATAAGAAAGAGGGAAGAGAGATAAGAAAGAGAGAGAGAGAGAGGAGAGAGAGAGAAGAGAGAGAAGAAAGAGAGAGAAAGAAGAAAGAGAGAAGAGTTGGGGGAGAGGGAGGAGAGAGAAAGAAGAAGAGAGAGAGAGAAAGAAGAGAAAGGAGAGAGAAGAAAGAGAGAGAGGAGAGGAGAGAGAGGAGAGAGAGAAGAAAGAGAGAGAAAGGAGAAAGAGAGGAGAGAGAGAGAGGAGAGAGAGAGAGGGGAGAGAGAGAAGAGAAAGGAGAAAAAGGAGAAAGAGAGAAGAGAGATAAGAAAGAGGGAGAAAGAGGCGAGAAAAGAGAGAGAGAGAAGAAAGAGAGGAGAGAGAGAAAGGAGAAAGAGAGAAGAGAGGGAGAAGAGAGGGAGAAGAGAGAGACAGAGAGAAGAGAAAGAGTCGGACCTACCTTTCTACCCAGTTCTTGTAGCTGGGGATATCCTTGGCATAAAGCAGTTTATTAGATGGGGAATCTTTGCCCAAACGGTGCTCTGAGGTTGAACAGGAGTCCATGAAGGTTTGTGCGACCACCGATAAGCAGGCATCCGTGATGCTGTTCTTGTGAATGTCGAAGACAAACTGCGGATTTTTGATCATGTTCACCCAAAACCTCAAGGGCAAGCTGAAGTCAAAAGACAGAAGGAAGACATATTATTATTATTATTATTATTATTATTGTTATTGTTGTTATTATTATTATTATTATTATTATTATTATTATTATTATTATTATTATTACTCAAATTCAAGTAGTCCTTCACTTACAAGCACAGTCAGAACTGAAACTACCATCCCTGAGCGACGGGGTTGTTAAACGAGCCGTTCCCCATTTTACCACCTTTTCTGCCAGGGTTGCTAAGCAAGTCACCATGGTTGTTAACACTGGTTAAAGGAATCTGGCATTTCCCCATTGATTTGCTACTTGGAAGTCTCCTAGGGATGCTGCAAAAGCACAGCTGTAACTTTGAACGACACTAATCAATCAATCAATCAATCAATCAATCAATCAATCAGAATAGGGCTGGAAGGAATGTTGGAGGTCTTTGAGCCCAACCCCCTGCTCAAGCAGGAGAACCTATACCTGTGATGGCGAACCTATGGCACGTGGAGCCATATCTGTGGGCACGCGAGCATTTGCCCTAGCTCAGCTCCAGTGCGAATGTGCGCGCTGGCCAGCTGATTTTTGGGCCTTCCGGGCCCACTGGAAGTCAGGAAATGGGCCGTTTCTGGCCTCCAGAGAGCCTCCGGGGATGGGGAAGGTCATTTTCGCCCTCCCCAGGCTCCAAGAAAGGCTCTGGAGCCTGGGGAGAGTGAAAAACGGGTCTTCCGGTCCCACTGGAAGTCAGGAAATAGGCCGTTTCCGGCCTCCGGGTGTGGGTGGGGAAGGCTGTTTTCGCCTTCCCCAGGCTAAATAAATAAATAAATAAATAAATCTTTCAATTTATATTGTTTTTATTTGTTTCCTAGTACGATTTGATAGCTTATTAGTAACCTATGACTATCGCTAAGTGTTGTATCTTTTTATTTTGATGAATGTATTTTATTCTCCTTATGTACCCTGAGAGCTTATGCACCGAAGACAAATTCCTTGTGTGTCCAATCACACTTGGCCAAGAAAGAATTCTATTCTATTCTATTCTATTCTATTCTATTCTATTCTATCCCATCCATTCCCATTGCTTTCCATCCCATCCCATCCCATCCCATTCTATTTCATCCCATCCCATCCCATCCCATTCCCATTTCTTTCCATCCCATCCCATCCCATCCCATCCCATCCCATTCCATTCTATTTCATCCCATCTCATCTCATCTCATCTCATCCCATCCCCATTCCATCCCATCCCATCCCATCCCATCCCATCCCATCCCATTCTATTTCATCCCATCCCATTCCCATTTCTTTCCATCCCATCCCATCCCATTCTATTTCATCCCATCCCATCCCATCTCATCCCATCCCATCCCATCCCCATTCCTTTCCATCCCATCCCATCCCATCCCATCCCGTCCCGTCCCGTCCCGTCCCGTCCCGTCCCGTTCCGTTCCGTTCCGTTCCGTTCCGTTCCGTTCCGTTCCGTTCTGTTCTATTCTATTCTATTCTATTCTATTCTATTCTATTCTAATCTATCCCATCCCATCCCATCCCATCCCATCCCATCCTATTCTATTCTATTCTATTCTATTCTATTCTATTCTATTCTATTCTATTCTATTCTATTCTAATCTATCCCATCCCATCCCATCCCATCCCATCCCATCCCATCCCATCCTATTCTATTCTATTCTATTCTATTCTATTCTATTCTATTCTATTCTATTCTATTCTAATCTATCCCATCCATCCCATCCCATCCATCCCATCCCATCCCGTCCCGTCCCGTCCCGTTCTGTTCTGTTCTGTTCTATTCTATTCTATTCTTCATTCCAAAATCTATTCTATTCTATTCTATTCTATTCTATTCTATTCTATTCTATTCTATTCTATTCTATTCTATTCTATTCTATTCTATTCTAATCTATCCATCCCATCCATCCCATCCCTCCCATCCCATCCCATCCCATCCCATCCATCCCATCCCATCCCATTCCATTCCATTCTATTCTATTATCCCATCCCATCCCATCCCATCCCATCCCATCCCATCCCATCCCATTCCATTCCATATGAATCCTACTCCCAGTATTTCTTTGCTTTAGGACAAAGAAGAAGGAAGAGTGGTCAACTAATTTTCCAAAGCACCTGAGGGCAGGACAAGAAATAACGGATGGAAACCCATCAAGGAGAGATGCAACCTGGAATTAAAGAGAAACTTCCTGGCAGTGAGGACAATTAACCAGTGGAACAGCTTGCCACCAGAAGTTGTGGATTCTCCATCCCTGGAGGTTTTTAAGAAGACACTGGACTGCCACTTGTCTGAAATCGTACATGGTCTCCTGCTTGAGCAGGGGGCTGGACTAGAAGACCTCCATGGTCCCTTCCAGCTCTCTATTGATTGTACTTCTGGAGCCCACCACCTTGAAGAACCTCACTTCAATATTTCTAGGTCACCTCTAGGCAGATGTTTTGACCGAGTGGACAGAAACGTTGCCCAAAAGGATCCTTCTTGAGACCTTTATCCTCACCTACCTTCCAAGGGTCAACACCCATCATTGGTTTAATATCCAAGATTAACGTTCCCCAATAATCCAAAATAAATGTTCTCCACCTACTTCCCTTCTAAGACATTTCTGGGCTATTTCATGAACGCCCTCGTGACTCTCTGTTTGTGACTTCCCTGAATCCCTGGGTGGTGGTTTTTTCCGCCGCGAGGATCAGGCGATAAGTCAAGAAACCATCGGGAAGAAAGAAGTTGGGGGAACGGACATGGAATTAATTGAATCTGCTCCAAACCATGCCTCCGTTTCTTTAATCCCGCTTTCAACGCCCACCTCTTCCCCCCCCCTCTTTAAAGGAGCCCCCTGAGTGGCTTCAATCAGCCTTCAAGGAGTGCCACAGATGATGTTAATAATATGCTAATGTTTCATCAGTTCCAAATTTCTTTCTTCCTTTCCTTCTTTCCCTCTGTTCTGTCTCTTTCCCTCCCTCTCTTCCTTTCTTCCCAGTGTTCATTCCCTCCCTCCCATTTCCCGTCTTTCCTTTATTCACTTCCTTCATTTCTCCCTCCCTCCCCTTTCACTCTTTCCCCTCCCTCCCTCCCTCCTTTCCATCTTTCCTTCCTTCCTTCCTTCCTCCAGTGTTCATTCTGCCTCCCTCTCTCCTTTCCTTTCTCCCTCCCTCCCTCCTGTGTTCACTTCCCCACCCTCTCTCTTTTCCTCTTCCCTCTCTTTTTCACCCTCCCTCCCTTCCCTTTCACTATTTCCCCTCCCTCCTCCTTTCCCTGTTCCGTCTTTCCTTGATTCACTTCCTTCCTTCCTCTCTTCCCTTTCATTCTTTCCCCTCCCTCCTTTCCCTCTGTTCCATCCTTCCTTCCTTCACTTCCTTCCTTCCTCCCGTGTTCACTCCGCCTCCCTCTCTCCTTTCCTCTGTTCTCCCTCCCATGTGTTGACTCCCCTCCCTCTCTCTTTTCCTGTTCCCTTTTCCTTCATTCCTTCCTCCCCCTCTCACACTTTCCCCTCCCTCCTCCTTTCCCTCTGTTCCCTCTCTTTTCCTTCCTTCCTTCCTTCCTTCCTTCCTTCCTTCCTTCCTTCCCTTCCTTCCTTCCTTCCTCTCCTTTCACTCTTTCCCCTCTCTCCCTCCTCCTTTCCCTCTGTTCCCTCTTTCCTCCCTCCTGTGTTCACTCCCCCTCCCTCTCTTTTCCTCTGTTCCTTCTTCCTCCCTTCCTTCTTCCCTCCTTCCCCTTTCACTCTTTCCCCTCTCTCCCTCCTCCTTTCCCTCTGTTCCCTCTTTCCTCCCTCCCTCCTGTGTTCACTCCCGCTCCCTCTCTTTTCCTCTGTTCCTTCCTCCTCCCTTCCTCCCTCCCTCCTTCCCCTTTCACTCTTTCCCTCCCTCCCTCCTCCCTCCCTCCTCCTTTCCCTCTGTTCCTTCTCTTTCCTTCCTTCCTTCCTCCCTCCCTTCACTCTTTCCCCTCCCTCCTCCTTTCCCTCTGTTCCCTCTTTCCTCCCTTCCTCCCTCCTGTGTTCACTCCCCCCTCCCTCTCCTTTCCTCTGTTCCTTCCTTTCTTCCTTCCTTCCTCCCTTCCTTCTCCCTCCTTCCCCTTTCACTCTTTCCCCTCTCTCCCTCCTTCTTTCCCTTTGTTCCTTCTCTTTTCCTCCCTCCCTCCCTCCCCTTTCACTTTCCCATCCCTCCCTCCTCCTTTCCCTCTGTTCCCTCTTTCCTCCCTCCCTCCCTCCCTCCCTCCCTCCCGTGTTCACTCCCCCTCCCTCTCTTTTCCTCTGTTCCTTCTCTTTTCCTTCCTTCCTCCTTCCCTCCCTCCCCTTTCACTCTTTCCCCTCCCTCCCTCCTCCTTTCCCTCTGTTCCCTCTTTCCTCCCTCCCTTAAGTCATAAGTCAAGGACTACTCTACATTTCGGAAGTGACATTTCTTGACTCGGCCCTAGCTGCTCCTGGTTCCCTTGGGTAGGAAGCCCTTCCAAAACGCCCTTCAATGTTAGGAACTGCATTCTGCAAATGGCTTCCTCTTTTGGCCCCATTGTGGAGGGGAGGGGGGGGGAAGGTGAGCTGGGCTTTTTGGAAGTGCTCACCAATTGCTTTTCCAGGTGTGTCTCACGTGGGGATCGTGGATGTTGTGCTTGTCAGCTTGCTCATCCAGGAAGTCAAACATGTACTTGATGGCCAGGGGCAGCGCACTGCCTCGGTGGGCCGTGCTGAAGATTGTCTCGAAGAGGTCATCCACAAACTTCTGTAAAGTGCCCTGTGAGGAAAATGGGGGCACCAGGAGGGAAAGAGAGAAAAAACAGGGAAGAGGGAGGAAGGAAAGAAGGAAGGAAGGAAGGAAGGAAGGGAGGGAGGGAGGGAGGAAGGAAAGAAGGAAGGAAGGAAGGAAGGAAGGGAGGGAGGGAGGGAGGGAGGAAGGAAGGAAAGAAGGAAGGAAGGAAGGGAGGAAGGAAGGGAGGGAGGAAGGAAAGAAGGAAGTAAGGAAGGGAGGGAGGGAGGGAGGGAGGGAGGGAGGAAGGAAGGAAGGAAGGAAGGAAGGAAGGAAGGAAGGAAGGAAGGGAATGAGGGAAAGACAGGGAACAGAGGGAAAGGAAGGAGGGGGAGGGAGAGAGAGGAGGAGGCAGAGGAGAAGATGAGGAGGAGGAGGAAGAGGGACAAGAAAGAGGAAGAAGAAGAAGAAGAGGAAGAAGGGGAGGAGGAGAAAGAAGAGGACAAGGAAGAAGAAGGGGAAGAGGAGGAGGAAGAGGAAGAAGAGGAAAAAGGAAAAGGAGGAAAAAAGGAGGAGGGAAGAAGCAAGAAAGAGGAAGGAGGAAGAAAGAAAAAAGAAAGAAGAAAATATAAAAATTTATATTTTAAAAAAGAATTATAAATGTTATAAATGTTATAAAAATTTCACAAGGTGAGCACTCTGAAGATAATTCTTTTCCAGTATTTGAGCGGCTGTCCCAAAGAAGAAGGAGGTCCACCTATTCTCCAAAGCGCCTGAATGCAGAACAAGAAGCAACGGATGGAAACTCATCAAGGAGAGAAGCAACTTAGAACTAAGGAGAAATCTCCTGACAGTGAGGACAATTAACCAGTGGAACAGCTGACCACTAGAAGTTGTGAATGCTCCAACACTGAAGGTTTTCAAGAAAAGACTGGACAGTCATTTGTCCAGAATGATATAAGGTCTCTTGTTTGAGTAGGTGGTTGGACTAGAAGACCTCCAAGGTCCCTTCCAACTGTTATTCTGTTATACATTAGGGACAATCGGTCTCCCTATCCCCATAGTTGACCATCTCCATCTCTTCCTTGTGAGTAGAAGCAACTGGCTGCCCACCATGAGAAACCAAACACCGGCGTTAGCTGGGCCTTGGTTAGCTTCCAGAAGTTGTGACTTCTCCAACACTAGAGGTCTTCAACAAGAGATTGGACAACCATTTGTCTGAAATGGTAGTGTTGTGGTCCACCAGCAGTCTGCGGAGCTGGCGACAGAATCGGACAGTGAGGAGGCTGGGGAGGAACATGGGCCAGTCCTGGAGTCTGGGGAAGGCTCGGATGAGGGCTCTGCATCGGAGGCAGAGATGGGGCCAGAGTTAAGTGCAGACTCCGGAGCCTCCAGAGTCTGATGTCAGCGAGGCAGAGGAACAGGGGGAGCCCTGCGCAGAGCTGCCAGAAGGCAAGAACAGTTAAAACAAAAGGGACGACTCGGGAGTAAGGCTTGGAGATGATTGGGCCCCTCCCATAAGACATAAAGGAAGAGCAAAGGCACTGGGGCCTTTGCAGGAAGCAACGTTGTGGATGATGTCGGTTTATACTTTGAAGCTCCGTTTTTGACTCTGTGTTTCCGTGTGGCCTCACCAAGATAATTGCCAATTAGGTCTTTGGCAGCGTGTCAAGGGAGATAAAGGTGGGTGTTTACCAGCCTTATCCGAAGGACTGTGGCAGACTTCTGTTGGACTATTTATAAACTCCGGGTGATTCAGCAAGTGCTGTGAATGAAAGGAATTCACAGCCGTTAAAATTTTAAAAAAGCGGGGGTTGGGACTAATTGTGTGCTTTTTACTATATCAGGAAGCCTAGGTCAGAACAGGTATTGGGTTTCCTGTTTGAGCGAGGGGTTGGACTAGAAGACCTCCAAGGTCCCATCCAACCCTATGATTGTATGTTCTATGATCTGGGAGCTGTTCTTACTCATTGATTTGGCAACCCAAGGATCTTGTTAGCAGCTTAGGATGTTTGTAGCGTAAGGAGGACAACACCCTTTTCGGATCATGATGGGCCTCTGTTGGGTGAAGAACCCCCTAATCAGCTCGTTGTAGGTTTTAACGAAACGATTGCACCAGCCACTTGGTACAGATTGGAGATTGGACTAGAGGACCTCCAAGGTCCCTTCCCATCTGTTATTCTACGTTCTTTGGGCCTGTGGCGTGAGCCAGGCCATCCCAGAAAGTTACCCCAGGTCTCGTTTGCTCGGCTCTTGCAAAACAACACAAAAGGCAACACAACCAACGGCAAACGTATCTCAGCTGGCTTGTGGTGAAGAAATGAAAGCCAAGATGGGGTTCGTGGCGAACCGGTAGTAAAAAAATAAGCTACCGGTTCGGTTGAATCGGTAGTTATAAAGCTACCGGTTCGGGCAAACCGGTAGTTAAAAAAAAAAGCTATAGGTTCGTCTGAACTGGTATTTCCGACGATCAGCTGTGCCGCGTGGTTTATATTAGCTAGAAAGCAGGAAATCTTGCTTTCTAGCGAAGCTAAATCACGCGGCACAGCTGTTTCCTCCCTTCGCTGTTCTACTTACCTAGTAAAGTCTTTTTTTTCTGCGCGAAGCGTGTGTTTGGCGCGCAATGCAGTACGCATTTGGCACGCACCGCGCATGCACGGGCAACAAACCGGTGGCGATCCGCGGAGGATTTCACCACTGGTTCATGGCCCCTTCCCATCAGGGGCAGGGCAAGATCGGAGGTGGGTGGCTGGGGGAAAGGGTGCCAGCACACTCCCCCCCAAAAGGGACGCCCTGTTTCCCCCATTTGTCTCTGGGAAATCGCTCCCTTCCCTACCTCCACCGGTCTCTGGTTCGCTCTGCTGGCTTCGGCACTTTGAAAGTGTCAGCAAAATCAATGCTACATAAATCACTCGGCATTGGCGGTGAGCAAGGAAAGGATGGGAGGCTCTGAGTGTTAAACCACCTTCGCCGGTATTCCCTGGGCCGAAAGTCAACAGCAGAGAATTATAAAGCTGTCACACAAATCATCTCTCCTGCAGCACCGCGCTTGGGTGACAGCTGAAAGCTTGCGTCCTCTCCAAAACCTCCGTTTAGGTCAACACCTCGGTGGAGAGATTATTTCCTTGTCAAGCAACCTATTTGGGGAGTGCAGTTATCTCCCTCTCTTTTTTCTCTTTCTGTCTCTCTGTCTCTTTCTTTTGGTTTCCCTTTCTCTCTCTCTCTTCTTTCTCTTTCCTTCTCTCTCTCTCTCTCTCTCTCTCTCTCTCTTTCTCTCTCTTCGCTCTCTTTTTCCTTTCCTTGTCTCTCTGTCTGTCTCTGTCTCTGTCTCTTTCTCCCTCCCCCTCTCTTGTATTTCTCTCTATCTCTTTCTCTTTCATTCTCCCTCTCTTTCTCTTTCTGCCTCTCTGTCTCTTTCTTTTTGTTTCTCTTCTCTCTCTTTTTTTCTGTCTCTTTTTATCTCTTTCTTTCTCTCTCTCTTTCTCTCTTTTTTCTGTTTCTGTCTCTTTTTCTGCTTCTCTGTTTGTTTCCTTTTGTTTCTCTCTCTCTTTCTCTCTCTTTTTCTCTCTCTTTCTTTCCTTCTCTCTCTGTCTCTCTATTTCTCTCTGTGTCTGTCTCTCTCTCCCTCTCTTGCATTCTCTCTTTTTCTCTTTCTCTGTCTCTTTTCCTTTTTTACTCTCTGTCTCTTTTCCTTTCTTTCTCTCTTTCTCTTTTGTATCTTTCTCTCTTTCTCTCTCTTTCACTTCCTCTTTTTCTGTTTGTCTCGTTTTCTCTTTCTTGTTCTCTTTCTGTCTCTCTCTCTCTATTTTTATTTTTCTATTTCCATCTTCCTTTTTCTTTCTGTCTCTTTCTGTCTCTTTCTCTATCTCTCTCTCATACACACACACACACACACACACACACACACACACACACACACATATATATATATATATGAGAGTATCTCTTAGAACTTTGAGCTGGTTGATCATTTACCATAGTGACTTCACTGGGTTGAAGCCTACTAGCTTACAATGAGCAACTCAGACAAGCAAGAACCACCAAGAACAGTTCTACCCACACTGAGGGCAAGTAACTTGCATATAAAAAGCTAGCAGGCCCCACTTCCTTCTAGCACTGATGACGTTACCTAGTTCGGTGACGAAACGTCTGCAAGAAAACCACTAAGCTCAGGGAGCACCAAGGACCCCACAATTCAACCCTGAGCTACAAATATTCTCTTTTTTTGGTACAATTCCATATTTTTTTCTATCCCCCCACCTGTCCTTTCTCTCCAGCCTCACCTACCTTGGTGGCTAGCAGCCTTGTCAGGTAGATTTCAGATACCATCTTGCTCCCTCGGTCCCCTTCTTTCTGATCGCCATGCTCGTGGTTCTTCACTAAATGCCACATCTTGACCCCACTTTCTAGGTCAGGCGTGATCATGGGCGTCCGGGAACGCAAGCTATCTGGGCTTCCGGTGTAGCGGATCATGTTTTCTGAAAGCACAAACGGACACACGAACCCTTGAAGATTTTCTTCCAAGGACTAAGTGGAAAAAGAAAATTGAAACTGCGAGGGAATCCTTGGTGCTCTCTGAGCTGGCTTGTTTTCTTGGAGATGTTTCATGAACACAACTAGGTAACATCATCAGAGACTAGAAGACGCTTGTGCTGCATAAAGACAGAGAGCAAACTCACTCCCTTCTAGCCCTGATGATGTTACCGAGCTGGGTCATGAAAAGTCTGCAAGAAAACAAACAAGCTCAGAGAGCACCAAGAACCCCACAGTAGTAGTCGCTGTTGACATCTCCTCTTCCTCCTCCTCCTGCAACCCCCTCCCTTCTAACCAGGGTGGATTTGATTTAAATCGAGTTGATTTAAATCACAATTGAAATCATGATTTAAATCATTAGTAAAAAGGCTTGATTTAAATCAACTCGATTTAAATCATAATTTTTAAAGAGCAACTGTCACCTCTGTACTCCTTTGACCCACTCACCGATAGTCCCAGTGTTGTAGAATATACAGCCTCCTGCTACATAACTAAGCTCCATTTCATGCTGAATAAACTAAATTATTTATGTATCTTAAATAGAAAACTATCTTACGATAGATTTTTACCCCAAAAGTTTTTTATTAAAATAAATTCGATAAAAATAAAAAAAAAATCTGATTTAAATCACAAAAATCCGATTTAAATCACAAAAATCTGATTTTTTTTTATTTTTTTAAAAAAAAATCATTGATTTTTATCCACCCTGCTTCTAACACTGATGATATTATCTAATTGGTCATGAAATGTCTGCTAGAAAATAACCCAGCTCAAAAAGCACCAAGGGCCAACCCTCATTTCAACCCCAAGCTACAAATGTTTTCCCTTATTGGGTTTGAACTGGTTTTTTTTAAAAGTGTGACTGGAGCAGTGTCTTAAGGAATGAATTGCTAGTCTAAAAACAGCAGCATAAAGATGCTCAAAGATTAGCATCTTTGAGCATCAAAGATTGATCTCCAAGGACCCTTCCAGTCCTGTTATTCTGTTCTGTTTTTTTGTCATTTGATATTATTTTGTTCTGGGGTGTAAGACACTCAACTCCAAATTATACATTATTTCCCAATATTTTGGCCACATTTTATTACAGAGATTAGCTTATAATTAGTGTTCTTCAGGGCCTGTCAGATGGTTACTGTCCGAGCATCTAAACCAGGAGTGGGGAACCATGCCCCCTTTACAACCTGTGGACTTCAACTCCCAGAATTCCTGAGCCAGCATGGCCTTTTTACAACATGTGGACTTCAACTCCCAGAATTCCTGAGCCAGCATGGCCCCCTTTACACCCTGTGGACTTCAGCTCCCATAATTCCTGAGCCAGCATGGCCCCCTTTACAACCGGTGGACTTCAACTCCCAGAATTCCTGAGCCAGTTATGCTGGCTCAGGAATTCTGGGAGTTGAAGTCCAGAAGTCCTAAAAGGGCCATGGTTCCCCACCCCTGGACTAACCCATCTGGAAAAGGCTGGTCTGTGTCTTTACTGCCTTTTGCCTCCTCGGTTGTCTCACATGCCCTGATGGAAAAGTCCTTACCGTACTTGCTTGCAGAAGTCCTCGAGACGGTGAAATTGTTGACTGCGTTGTAAGCAGTGACTTGCTTGGATACCAAAGCCACCAGAGAACCATCTGGCACCTAGAAAAGGAATGAAGCTTTTATCAATCTGATGTAGTTGTGCAAAAGACACCAACGCACTATGGGTAGTTCCTTGACCAATTGAGCCCAAAAATTTCTGTTGCTAAGTGAGACATTGGTTAAGTGAGTTTTGCCCCATTTTAGAAGAATGGAATGGAATGGAATGGAATGGAATGGAATGGAATGGAATGGAATGGAATGGAATGGACGGGACGGGATGGACGGAATGGACGGGACTGGACTGGACTGGACTGGACTGGATAGAATAGAATAGAATAGAATGGAAGGAATGGAATGGAATGGAATGGAATAGAATAACAGAGTTGGAAGGGACCTTGGAGGTCTTCTAGTCCAACCCCCTGCTTAGGCAGGGAACCCTACACCACTTCAGAAAGATGGTTATCCAATCTCTTCTTAAAAACTTCCAGTGTTGGAGCATTCACAACTTCTGGTGGCAAGTCGTTCCGCTGGTTAATTGTTCTCACTGTTAGGAAATTTCTCCTTATTTCTAAGTTGCTTCTCTCCTTGATGAGTTTCCACCCATTGCTTCTTGTCCTGCCCTTAGGTGCTTTGGAGAATAGCTTGATGCCCTCTTCTCTGGGGCAACCCCTGAGATATCAGAACACTGCTATCATGTCCCCCTTAGTCCTTCTTTTCATTAAACTAGACAGACCCAGTTCCCGCAACCGTTCTTCATATTTTAGCCTCCAGTCCCCTAATCATCTTTGTTGCTCTTCTCTGCACTCTTTCTAGACTCTCCACATCTTTTTTACATCATGGCGACCAAAACTGGATGCAGGATTCCAAATGTGGCCTTACCAAGGCCTTATAAAGTGGTATCAACACTTCACGTGATCTTGATTCTATCCCTCTGTTGATGCAGCCTAGGACTGTGTTGACTTTTTTGGCTGCTGCTGCTCACGTCTGGCTCGTATTTAAATGGTTGTCCACTAGGACTCCAAGATCCCACTCCCAGTTTTTTATATCTATGCATGGTGGGAGGAGGTGCGATGATTCAGCGGTTATAGAGGCTGAGGTTGAAGAGCTCAGAGCTTGGGTTCGAGACCCAAACGCCATGTAACAGGGTGAGTTCCTGTTCGAAAGCATGCACATGCGAGTAGATAAATAGGTACCACATTGGTGGGAAGGTAACAGTGTTCCGTGCACCTTTGGCACGTAGCCATGCTGGCCAGATGACCAAGGAAATTATCTTTGGACAACACTGGCTCCCTCGGCCAAGCAGCAGAGTTGAGCACCATAATGGCAAATCTAACTTTCCATCAGCCAAAGGATAGCTTTGATGTTACGAGAATGAATGAATTCCCAATTAATTATACTCTGTTAGTCACATCCATCCCAAGTGCCGGGTCTTGTTCTGGTCACTGTTTTTTTAAGAAGAATTCAGAGCAACTGGTCCAGAGAAGGACATCAAGGATCTTCAAGGGACCAGAAATAAAGAAATAAAAACTATGAAAAGATTGATGGACCTGGGAATGAACTGCCTTGAGAAGTCATCTTCAAACCCAAGAGGTCATCGAGACCTCTTCTCTCTCTCATTGGATCAAGGATTCGAGGCCATGAGTCCAACTTACTACCAAGTTGTAAGCAAGGAAATCTGGCTTTCTTCGGTTCTTCACAAATCCGTGCGTTGCTAGCCTTGGGAAGTAGGCAGCTGATTTGAAAATCGTTGAGAAAAATAGCATTTGCATATGGATTTGTGGAGTCGTTTGGTGCCTCTCCACAAATCCATATCTGTGTCTATCTATTGATGAGTCTAGTGATCCATATCCACATCTCCCTGTGTCTACTGATGGCTGAATAGATGATGATTGCTGAATAGAATAGATGATGATTGCAATAGACGATTGATGGCTGGTTGACACATAGAGATAGATCACATTTACCCGCCATTCAAAAGAGACAATGAAAGAAAGCTGAGGAGGAAACAAAGAGACCAGAATACATCCCCTCCAGCAATCAACAGCAGATAAGCAGGGATTAACACCAGACAAATAATCAAACAGAAAACAATACCCTAAGCAATCAACAGCCAGATAAACAGGGATTAATACCAGACAAACAATCAAGCAGAAAACAATACTCTAATCAAGGAACCACCAAGGAGAAAAACCACACATCCCCACCAACACAGGGCAAGCTGTTATATATAAACAGGGAGCAAACCCTATACTCCTTAGCACTGATGATATTACCTAGTTGGGTCACGAAACGTCTGCAGGAAAACAATCAAACTCGGAGAACATTAAGGAGCCCACAATTCAACCCTGAGCTATAGATATTCTCTTTTATTGCATTGCAATGCATTTATTGAGCGACAGGATGGACAAAGCAGCGCGCGGGATTCAGGTGAGCGATTTCCTGCACGCCTTGCTCCAAATTCCCTTCTTAAAATTGGAGGAGGATGGAAGGTTGCGGATCCTGAATACTAATTCTGACCTTCTGTCCTGAGAAGAAGCTGGTACTAATTCTCCAATCTGCTAGACCAGCCCTAAATTGTTGAGTTAAACAATACAGATAGTCCTCGACTTATGACTATAATTGAGCCCCAAATTTCTGATGTCCTGACTCAAGGCAGTTGTCAAGTGAGTTTTGTTTCATTTTATGACCCCCCCTTTTTTTTTTTTTGCCAAAGCTGTTAAGCGAATCCCTGCATTTGTGAAATGAATCGTGCGGATGTTAAGCGAATCTGGCTTTCCCCGTTGACTCTGCCTGTCGGACACTGGCTGGGAAGGTTACAAGTGGGTACCTGACCCCCGGCACAGTGCAACTGTCACAAACACATGAAATTGCCAAGGGTTCCAATTTTGATCACGTGGGGATGCCGCAATGGTCGTAAGTGTGAGAACCGGGCGTAAGTGGGGGTTTTTTTTAGGCAATTTTGAATGGTTGCTAAATAATGGTTGTAAGTTGAGGACTACCTGTAGGCTTGGGGAGAATGCATCTAGGAAAGCTTGTTTTTTTTCTTTCAGGTTAAAAAATCTCTCATCCGTTACAGGCAGTCCTTGACTTACAACAATTCATTTAGCAACCGTTCAAAGTTACAATGGCACTGCAAAAAAAGCATTTTTCATACTTGAGACCAGTGGTGGCTTCCTCCCGGTTTGGCCCGGTTTGGCCGAGCCGGTAGCGGTGACGATATGACGTCACCGAACCGGTTCTCTTTGTTCGGGAGCTGGGCCCTCCCGCCATCCCCGCCCCCCCGCGTTATTCTTACCTTTTATTTGGCCCCACCCCCAATCTATTGCTGCCTCCTGAGTCCCAGCTGATTGGCTAGAAGGAAAAAAACTGTTTAAACTCTTGCCGTGGGGCTTCAAAGGGCCGCCCTACAGCTGATCGGTGTTAAAAGGTGGTAGACCAGTGCCTCCAAAAACAAATGGGTAGACCGATGCCTCCAAAAACAAATGAGTAGACCAGTGCCTGCAAAAACAAATGAGTAGACCAGTGCCTGCAAAAACAAATGAGTAGACCAGTGCCTGCAAAAACTAATGAGTAGATCGGTGCCTGCAAAAATACATGAGTAGATCAGTGCCTGCAAAAATAAATGGGTAGACCAGTGCCTCTAAAAACAAATGAATAGACCAATGCCTGCAAAAATAAATGAGTAGACCAGTGCCTCCAAAAATAAATGCAAGCAGTTAAAAGCCTGGTAGACCAGTACCTCTGCTAAATCCTAAAGAATTGTCACATGACCATCAAACCACGCCCACAAAATAAGCCACGCCCACAGAACCGGTAGTAAAAAAATTTAGAATCCACCCCTGCTTGCGACCAGTGTAACACCCCCACACTAGATGCCGTATTGCCACGCCTGGAATCCTGCATCCAGTTTTGGTTACCATGTTAGAAAAAAGATGTTGAGACTTGGAAAAAATGCAAAGAAGAACAACTAAGATTAAACTAAATTCCTGGATACTAAAACATATGAAGAACGATTTCAGGAGTTGGATTTGGCCAGTATAAAGAAAAGAAGGAGTAGAGGGGGACATGGAAGCAGTCTTCCAGTATTTGAGGGGCTGCCACAAAGAAGAGGGGGGTCAAATTATTTTCCAAAGCACCAGAAGGGCAGGACAAGAAACAGTGGATGGAAACTAATCAAGGAGAGAAGCAACCTGGAATTAAGGAGAAACTTCTTAACAGCGAGGACAATAAACCAGTGGAACAGCTTGCCACCAGAAGTTGTGGGTGCTTAAAAACTGGAGGTTTTTAGGAAGAAATTTGGACAGCCAATTGTTTGAAATGTTCTAGGTCCGTGATGGCGAACCTGTGGCACACGTAGCCATATCAGTGGGCATGCGAGCTCAGCTCCGCCACACAGATCCCACCGGAGGTTGGCAAACAGGCCGTTTCCGGCTTCCGAAAGGCCTCCAGGGGTGGGGGGGGGAGAGAGGCCATTTTCACCCTCCCCAGACTCCTAGAAAGGCTCTGGAGCCTGGCGAGAGAGAAAAATGGGCCTTCTAATCCCACTGGAAGTTGGCAAATGGGCCATTTCTGGCCTCTGGAGGGCCTCCGGGGGGGGGGAGGAGGGGAGAGAGAAGGTGTTTTTGCCCTCCCCGGACTCCTAGGAAAACTCTGGAGCCTGGCGAGAGAGAAAAAACGGGCCTACCAGACCATTGTGTGCCAGGAGCGGGGGGTCATGCACATGGCGAACCTATGGCACGCGTGCCACAGGTGGCACACAGAGCCATATCTGTGGGCACGTGAGTGTTGCCCTAGGGCAGGGGTGGGCAAATGTGGCTCTTTTACAACCTGTGGACTTCAACTCCCAGAATTCCTGAGCCAGTTGTCTCAGGAATTCCGGGAGTTGAAGTCCACAGGTTGTAAAAGAGCCACATTTGCCCACCCCTGCCCTAGGTCAACTCCAGCACGCATGTCAGCTGACTTTTGGGCCTTCCGGGCCCACCGGAAGTTGGGAAACTGCCTGTTTCCAGCCTCTGGAGGGCCTCTGGGGAGGTGGGGAAGGCTGTTTTCACCCTCCCCAGGCGCAAGAAAGCCTCTGGAGCCTGGGGAGGGCTAAAAACAGGCCTACCGAACCCACCGGTAACCTTTTTGCCGTCGTGTGCCAAAAGTGGTGGAAGCACAGGGGAGGGTCGCGTGCACATGCACAGGAGGCGGGGTGCGGAAGGCATTGAATTAGGGGTGTGGGCCCACACGTGCGCGATCCCCCCCGCACTCCCCCCGGTTTTGGCACATGACAGCAAAAAAGGTTAACCATCACTGGTCTAGGATCTCTTGCTTGAGCTGTGGGCTGGACTAGAAGACCTCCAAGGTCCCTTCTTAGCTCGATTCTGATTCTGAGACCGGTTTCTGGGGGGGGGGGGAAAATGCGCGGGACCAGTGGGAAATTCATTGCCAGGAAAAAACAAAACAAAAACAAAGCAGCCCTCTTGAAATTTTGGGGCTAGATTTTGTTCTTTCTGGCCTGCTGCAGAGCTGCGTAGGGGAAAAACTGTTGCCTTCGTTGGTAATTGGATTTATGAGCGGGCTACGCCGTCATTCGTAATTGTCAGAAAGTCCGCAAAGTGAAGGCTGATTGTTCCTGCTGTTACTTTTCATCACAGCTGTCATGATGAAATACAGATAACTTTGAGGGAGGGGTGTGTGTGGGAGAGGGAGGGAGTCCGAGAGAGAGAGAGAAGAGAGAGAGAGGAAAAATGGGCACCGGGAGGCCATATTTCACCCCAGCAAAACCTTTGCTCCCCCATTTTAAGTGAAAACAGACTGGTAAGTAAGTTTGTCTTGGACTGGGAGTTTCATATTTTACAACTTTCGACGGCTCGGAGCTGTAGCTGAATCCCATTTACTCCGAAGGCATTCTTTTGGAAAAATAAGATGATGTCGGTAATCAATCCTTTTCCCTTTCTTATGTTTTTTTCCCTCCCCTCCTGTCCACTTTTCGATCCGTACCATTACAAGAAAAAGAAAAATAATCCCATCACGGAGGGTAACAGCAAATTATTTCCCACTGGATCGTTCTGTGGGCAGCCGCCGTGCCCGACATCGAATATATCATGATGAGAACTCGTAGGAGCTGTTGTGCAGGATGCAATGGGACCGGTTAACTGTTCCTGTTGGTACTTGCGAGGAGGAGGAGGAGGAGGAGGAGGAGGAGGAGAGGAGGAGGAGGAGGAGGAGGAGGAGGAGAGGAGGAGGAGGAGGACTGTGGGGTTCTTGATGCTTTCTGAGCGTGGTTGTTTTCTTGAAGACATTTCATTACCCATCTAGGTAACATCATCAGCACTGATGATGTTACCTAGTTTGGGTAATGAAACGTCTACAAGAAAACAACCACGCTCAGAAAGCATCAAGGACCAGTCATGTGTCCCACCTCCTCCTCTCTCTCCTCCTCTCCTCTTCTCTCCTCTTCCCCCTCCTCTTCTTCCTCTCCTCCTCCTCCTCTCCTCCTCCTCTTCCCCCTCCTCTTCTTTCTCTTCTCTTCCTCCTCTTCTTTTCTTTCTCTTTCTTTCTCTCCTCTTCCTCTTCCCCTCCTCTTCTTCCTCTCCTCCTCCTCTCTCCTCCTCTTCTCTTCTTCCTCCTCCTCCTCCTCTCCTCTTTCTCTCCTCTTCCTCTTCCTCCTTCTTTTCCTCCTCTCCTCTTTCTCTCCTCTTCCTCTTCCTCTTCCCCCTCCTCTTCTTCCTCTCCTCCTCCTCTTCTCTTCCTCCTCTTCTCTTTCTCTCTCTTCTCCTCCTCTTCCCCCTCTCTTCTTCCTCTCCTCCTCCTCCTCCTCCTCCTCCTCCTCTCCTCCTCCTCCTCCTCCTCCTCTCCTCCTCCTCCTCCTCCTCCTCCTCCTCTTTCTCCTCCTCACAAGTAACAACAGGAATGGTCAACCGGCCCATTTCATCCTCCAGAAGAGCTGATGATGTTACCTAGTTTGGGTAACAAAACCTCTGCAAGAAAACAACCAAACTCAGAGAGCACCAAGGACCAGACCGTCCTCCTATCCTCTTACTCTTCCTTCTCCTCTCCTCTCCTCTTCCTCCTCCTCCTCTTCCTCCTCCTCCTCTTCCTCCTCACAAGTAACAACAAGACTGGTCAACCAGCTCATTATATCCTCCCCAACAGCTGATGATGTTACCTAGGTTGAGTAACGAAATGCCTTGTAAGAAAACCACCAAACTCAGAGAGCCCCAAGGGCCCATAATATCGAATTGTTTCATATCCAGCTCCAGAGACGAGTCAAGAAAGCCTTGAGACAGAGCAGAGAAGGAGGGTTGGCAGTTCACCTCCCACACTTTTATATGCGGTGCACCTCCATAACTGTCTGATTTGGCTCTGCAACCCAACAAGACAGACGGAGACTTCAGAGGATCATTAGAACGGCAGAAAAAACCATGGCTACCAACCTGTCTTCCATGGAGGACTTGTCTACTGCACGAGTCAAAAAGAGGGCTGTGAAAATATTTACAGACCCCTCGCATCCTGGACATAAACTGTTCAACCCCTACCCTCAAAACGACGCTATGGAGCACTGCACACCAGAACAACTAGACACAAGGACAGTTTTTTCCCGAACGCCATCACTCTGCTAAACAAATAATTCCCTCAACACTGTCAAACTATACACTAAGTCTGCACTACTATTAATCTTCTCATCGTTCCCACCACCCATCTCCTCCCACTTAGGACTGTAACTTTGTTGCTGGTATCCTTACATTTTATATTGATTGTTTCCTAGTATGATTCGATTGCTTATTTGTAACCTATGACTATCCTTAAGTGTTGTACTTTATGATTCTTGACGAATGTATCTTTTCTTTTTATGTACACTGACAGGATATGCACCAAAGACAAAATCCTTGTGTGTCCAATCACACTTGGCCAATAAAGTTCTATTCTGTTCTGTTCTGTTCTGTTCTGTTCTGTTCTGTTCTGTTCTGTT